AAGTCTTAAAAAATAAAAAATAAAATGTAAAATAAAATCAACTTACACAATAAAAATGATGGATAAAATTGAAGAATCTACATATGTAATTTCACGTAAAATTCAAACCAGCAATGGTTATGTAGTGCGTCATGGCATTTTGAACAGAAAAAAACCTCGTTCTTTCATGTTAATATTTACACCGGTTTTGGCGACATTCCATTTTATGTGGGTTGTATAATTGTGACATGTTCAGTAATATTTCTTCAACCTTAGGGACATTTGAAATAATTAAACCATACTTGCAGTTGTATGTGCATGACAGATCCCCAAAACTCTTAAGTTCGTAAACTCCGAAAGTTAACTCTATTCTTTTATACTTTTTACGAGCCATTCACTCCAGCAGGCTGGCTTCAATCCAAAATAAATTGACATAAAAAAATTTACTCTGGAAAACACATATTAGAATATACTTTTTGGCACAATTATTAAAATAGTTGACATGTTACTATCACAACAAGCCTTTTCTATTACCTAAACATGCTTGTTTACGAATCTCATTATTATTCTTCTAATGGCCAGTGGGTTTACAATTACAATGGTTGACACCAAAGGGTATTTTGTTTATTGTTTGATAATACATTCAAAACGTTAAAAATGTAGACGAAAAATGGCGTAAATAACATCCTTTTCTACTCATTTTTGGGCCAGAAAGACGACTGAGAACGAGGAAAAAGAAAGAAATATTACTAGTTCAGATTCTTCTAGAAATCCTGCTTTGTTCCGTTAGAACAAGGGTCTATATTGAAATAATAGACAGGAAGCGGATCTCGTGATGTCTTTTGTTTATTTTTTGAGCGTAACTTTTAAGCGTGTATCCCACAGGTGCCTATGGTGGGTAGATCAGTAACTAGATAAAGTGAGAGAGTAAAAGAGAGGAGAGGGAGAAAGAGAAATAAAGAGAAAGAGAGACTGGGAAAGAAAAAGAAGTAAAGAGATAGAGAGAGAAAGGAAAAAGAGAGAGAGAGAGAGAGTGAGAAAGAGAGAAAGCGTGAATAAGTGAGAAACCCATAGTTTTAGAAATGTGTAAGGATAAAATGAGACGGAAGTGTATAGCAAGATAGAAAGAAAGAAAAAATAGATGAGATAAAGACAGAGAGAAATGGGCAGAGTGTAAGAAAAACATAACTTTTTTTAATTGTTCCATCAAAATTGTGGGTTTTTTAGAATGTTCGATTTTATGAGGAAATTTAAATAAACAAATTATAATACATTTTTTAATCGGACATAAAAGCCTTGAAGAAGTTAATACAACACCCAATTTCGCTTTGATCTTGTATTAGTAACGATTTTGTTCTTAGCAATTATTCAATGGGGCGTCGGAGTAAATTTGTAAATTTTCGCAACTGCTTAAGCGTTGACTCGACGCTCATCATTGTAAAGGAAACGTCCCAGGTTCGAATCCATCGGCCCTGCATTCCAACCCGACTTGCTTACAAACTGTTTTTTTTTTTAAAAACACCGGCTCACCGGGGGTTGATATAACCTTTGCCCTTTGAGAAATCTCGTAAAAAATATTCAATTCAAAAATCTTTCATTTGTAGAAATTACATTTGTTTTCTTTTTTAATTTTACGTGATTGAACGTAAAATACATAATAGGTCTATAATAGGTAACTATCTTTAATTCATAAGTGTGTAGTCTTAAAAAAATTTCCAGGTCTGTGTTTGTTTTGATGGAAAGTGATATAACAACAATCTGTTCTGAATAATTGTAACGACTACTTAATTTTGTTTATACCTGTTATGGTAGTAAAGTATTAATAATTTTTATATATGACAATAATTTATGATAGGAAAACTTACTTTTGCACTTTTGTCTTTTAAATTGTTCTTTTGTATACTAGGACGTTTTTCGAGCTTGCTTGTATTTTTTTATGGAACTCAATCATCAATGAACCCTTTAGTTCCCATTGTTTATTGAGTTTAGTAGTTCCATAAACAGTTGCAATTAAGGCTTCATTCAACCTTTGAAAAATCAGGGCGATCAAAACATTAAACAATTGATATCTTCAATACTTCGTTTAATTACTCATTAGTTTATTGTAAATTTTAGTTGAATTTTATTTAAAGGCATATTTCTTAAGATTTACGCTGTCGTAAGATTTTTTAACTTTTCTGGGTACCCTTGAATGTTGAGGTTTGAATTATTACTACATACACTTGGGTAAAAATAACAACTTTCTATAGAAAATTTGTCATTTTGGTTTAAAGTCTGTGTAAAATATTTAATCGATAACTGTAGTTTCATTGGGTCTTGAGTTTTAAATTTTTTACAGTTTAGAAAACAAAATCCTGCTTGTTCGACTGCAATGGGCTTGTGGCAGAATGCAATTAAAACTACTTTTTTGAAAGGTACATCGAATAATTTGTATCACTAAACCTTCGAAAGAAAACTGGAAAAAAAGACAAGATTTTCCGCCCCATTGATCCCGAAATGTCAAAAAAACACCATGAAATCTTCAACACTTCATTAATTACTCATTAGTATATTGTAAATTTTAGTTAAGCTTTATTTAAAGGATTCTTTTATGTTTAGAGGTCTATTTGACCAAATTACTTCTTACAATTAATTATTCTTTTTATGTAAGTTCTTTAAAGTCAATTTAAAGGCTTATTTCTTAAGATTTTATTAAGTATCTTAATATTGCTCGTATATTTCGTATAAGTAGTATATTTTCTTACCTTTTCTGAATCTTCTGAATGTTGAGGTTGAGAATTTTTTCTATATACTCTGTGGTAGAAATAAAAATTAAATTTGTTATTTCTTTCCATTCACAGTTTTCGTGGTCCGCTTGACCAATTAATATCTTTCAATTATTTAATTCAATTATAATGTTTTATCTCAACTAAAAACCTTAATTAATTGTTATTTCTAGCAAAGTGTATGTAGTAATAAGTGGAAAATTTGCCATTTTGGTCTAAAGTCTATGTAAAATACTTAATAGGTAATAAATTTGGTTTCTTTGGGTCTTGAGTTTTAAATTTCATTGCTCATAGGTTTTCAAATTACCACTTTTTACCAGTTTACAAACCAGGCTTGTGGAAAAATGTAATTATGAAATTATGAATACTTTTTCTGAATGGTACATCGAATAATTTGTATCACTAAACCTTCGAAAGATAACTGTGGAAAAAAAGACAAGATTTTCCGCCCCATTGATCCGCTAAAAAAACACCATAACATCTTAAATACTTCATTAATTACTCATTAGTATATTGTAAATTTTAGTTGAATTTTATTTAAGGGATCCATTTATGTTTAGTGGACAATTTACCAAATTACTTCTTTCAATTAATAATTCTTTTTATGTAAGGTCTTGGCTAATTTAAAGGCTTATTTCTTAAGATTTTACGCGGTCGTAAATTTTCTTATCTTTTCTGAATCTTCGTGATTGTTGAGGTTTGAATTATTACTACTATACCTTGGTAGATGAAAGTGAAAATTGTTATTTCTAGCAAAGTGTATGTGGTAATAAGTGTAAAATTTGTCATTTTCGTCTAAAGTCTATTTGAAATACTTAGTAGGTAGCAACTGTGGTTTCATTGGGTCTTGTATTTTAAATTTCATTGCTCAAAGTTTTTCTAATTACCTATTTTTACAGTTTAAAAAATAAAATTCTGCTTGTTCCACTGCAACGGGTTGAGGCAGAATGCAATTACGACTACTTTTTCTGAATGGTACATCGAATAATTTGTATCACTAAACCTCCGAAAGATAACTGTGGAGAAAAGACAAGATTTTCCGCCCCATTGATCCCGCAATGCCATAAAACACCATGACAACTTCAAAACTTCATTTATTATTAGTTTATTGTAAATTTTAGTTGAATTTTATTTAAAGGATCCATTTAAGTTTAGTGGACAATTGACCAAAATATTTCTTTCAATTAATTATTCTTTTTATGTAAGGTCTTGGCTAATTTAAAGGCTTTTTCTTAAGATTTTACGAGGTCGTAAATTTTCTTATCTTTTCTGAATCTTCGTGACTGTTGAGGTTTGAATTATTACTATATACACTTTGGTAGAAATAAAAATGAAAATTGTTATTTCTAGTAAAGTGTATGTAGTAATAAGTGGAAAATTTGTCATTTTGGTCTAAAGTCTATGTAAAATACTTAATAGGTAGCAACTGTGGTTTCATTGGGTCTTGAATTTTAAATTTCATTGCTCATAGTTTTTCAAATTACCAATTTTTACCAGTTTAGAAAACAAAATTCGGCTTGTGGCAGAATGCGATTACGAATACTTTTTCTGAATGGTACATCGAATAATTTGTATCACTAAACTGATATCAAAAGATCACTGTGAAAAAAAAGAAAATATTTTCCGCCCCATTGATCCTGCAACGCCAAAAAACACAATTTTTTTCTCGGAAAATGAACATGTTTAACGCGTGGCCCTTTTCACCTATTCCACGTTTTGCCAATTATTTATAAATCTTATTAGGTTTTTCGAGACATCTGTAACAAATGATCATCACTGAGGGGACTCGAGCAATTTAAACGGTCGTTATCCATCACAGTCCTAACGCACTGTCAGGAAGAAGAATCGGCAAATTAATTTCGAAAAATAAATACTACGTTGTAATTTTTCTGAATGTGTGTTTAATGTTTGGAAGCAATGTGTAAGCAAATAAGATAATTTTTAATGCGATGAAAAACAGCCGCATTGCTTATCGCTGATAACGATCAAATATGGTATATAAGACACAAGGAGTTATATTTTTAAAAAAACTGTCAGTCTGTTTTAATAAGCACACTACTCGTGCGTGTTTAAATTACAAGAAAATTATATAGTGATATGGTACCGAGGTTTAAGATCTTAGCAAAATTTTGCTTTAAAGCTTTACTTTTTATGGACTTACTGAAATATGAACATTTTGTTGGATAAAAATTTCTTTTGTTAGGATCAAGTCGAACGGAATGGATTTTCGATTGAAAAAAGTCAAATTTGACTTACTTCAGTCTTGGTGATACGGTGCTTGGCCAGTTTGACGACGGCGAAATTCCCCTTGCCGATAGTCCTTTCAATGTCGTAGAAACCGACACGTATCGGTGCCTTGTGTCTTTCCGTCATCCCGACTACCATCCTCAACCCATCCCCACACGGTACACACTCCGTCTCCGGATTCTGACTGAACGGGTACCGCGGCCCCCACCCGGCGAAACCGCCCCTTCTTCCAGTCGGCCGCCCCTCCCGTTTGCGCGCCTGCTCTCCCTCTGCCTCCTCGCACGACGCGCTTTAAAATCAATCCGGTAATAACACCTGACGTTGTCTAGCAACCCTCAAATTGACGATTTGGGAAAAATAAGTCTTGTAATGATCGGTAATTTAGGAGGAGATTTGGATTTTTCCTCGATATATCAGGGGACTGCAAACTTTCTTAAAAGAGGGCAAAATCGTAAACAAAATCGGTTCAGTTGAACCTTGAATAGGTACGTTATTTACTCACGCAGAAGCAAAATAAAGAGGACACCCTTAATATTTTTGATTATCTCTTAGACAATCCTCCATTGATAATCACAACAATATTTGATCTCTTTTAAAGGATTAGAGGTAAATAAAGCACCGATGAAATCTCCCATGTGTGTTGAAGAAAACGACATCACCTACATATACAAATACGTTAACATCATACTAGAACTAGAAACCAACAACAACAAAATAAACTACATAGATACTAACAAATCTGAACTTCAAAAAATATAGAATTCAAGGTAAAAATAGAAAAGAACAGCAATATAAAATTCATAGACCTAACAAACACTAATTAATATCAGTAAAATTCGACATATACAAAAACCCAGCAGGGACCGACATCATCACTCTAATCGACACAAAATGACAGTGCAAAAATACAGAAAAATATAGACTAAACAAAAAACACCACTGAGTAAAGAGAAATAGGAATTGAACTAAAAATGATAAGAAAAATACAGTATACAATAACGACTACAGCTCAAACACAATGAACCAAAGCAACAACAAATTGCATTTACAAAAACAAAACCACAAAATCATCCACGAAGTGGACCACATTCACTTACATAAGTAAAGAAACGTAGAAACTAACAAAAATGTAATTAACAATTTGTTATAGCTTTTTTTGTTATTTTAAACTGCAAGTATTGTGTCAATTAAATATTATTTAAGAAATTAGGCATAAATAACAGCTTTGAAGTCTTCAAACACAACGGGAAAAATACTAAGAAAAAATATTGAGAAAACCAACACACTTGAAAAAAATATTGTAGCAAGGAATATATACGCCATAACTTCACTAGTTTTCGTGGTCCGCTTGACCAATGAATATCTTTCAATTAATTAAGGTTTTTAGTTGAGATAAAAAACGTCAGTGTCACGAGCGGGATTCGAACCCACGACCTTTGGCTAGATAGGCCGCTGCTCTACCACTTGAGCTATCCTGACTTCGATCCGCTCGGACACTAACTTCCCATCTCAACCCCACCTTTTGAATTTTCCCTCCTTTTTGTCATTTTTCATACACTATAACAAGCGAATGCTGAGACAAATACATCGGACAGGCAGGTTGAAAATAAAACCCAGATACAAAGAATATCGACAAACAAATACACGTAGAGGCCCAAAAAAAGAGGCACTTAAAATAACTCTTTTTATTTAAATAATGTTTTCGATGAAAAGGTAAAGACTTTAATTCAACCGTCACTGGAAAATCCAGCCTTAAAACCGGGGTCTTATTAGGAGAAATTTTGTAAAATTGACTTGTCAATCGAAGGCGGTACTGACGCTGCCAACCGATAAATTGGTTGTTCGGCTTAATTATTATGGATGTTTTTTTTTCTGGAGGAAAACTCTCTCTTTATGCTGTTAAACTCTTGTTATGTACTCTGATAGATTGTAAAAAAGATTTAAAATTCAATCTTCTTTGGACGCTTATGATTAGCTTGAAAATTGGACCGTCGTGACACAGTCGAAGGCATTCCCTTCAACTATTAAAATCAAACCAGTATGTCTTTTCAAGTTAAAGTTGTGAGCTTTATTGGTTTGGCAGGAAAGTAATGTCGTTTGTCAATTATAGGATTAGCTAGTCCATATTTATATTTTTCCTATATATCGTAATTTTAGTGAACTTTGTGCAGCAGATAATAAAGAATGTAATAATAGTTGAGACTAAGATTATTTTTAGGCTCTGAATATGACGGGTAATTTCGGTGCACGGTGTAATTTTGTTTGTGTGACAATGTGATCTTGTAATTTACTGTGAACACATTTTTTAATAGGTTATGTTGGATGAAAAAACAGTTCACATATGAATATTTCTATCAAGTGAGTTATTGTCTACAAAAGAAATAGCAGCAACAATTAGTCATAAAATCTTTTACTGAAAACTTTGTAATCATTAAATAATAGAATATTTGGCCGATCCGTAAACTTGGCACCCGTACACCCGTATAGGTTAGAGTATGTATATATATCGAAGTTTTGATTTTAATGGTAATTTTGATCGTCTGTTCAGTAGGTAGTAAAGAATTTTAAATCGTTTGTTAAGTGTGTTTTTAATAGTGTGTGCTGATCAAATGGAAGTCCCTAAATAGGTATCTTTGTCGGGTTGAGGAACACGTTCATTGTATAAGTCTATCGGCGGAGTGTAAAGAAGAAAAGTTGTGTCTGAAGAGTTAAACTTTATTTTCCAACAATTCTTACATTGCTGACATTTGTATGGGGAACTTATCTGGGATTTGTGTACAACAGCGGAACGATTACCCCTGATGCATACCAGGAAGCACTTCCTTCATTTAAGAAAATCTATGTTCTTTCTATGCCCCCAGGTTTACTCCGGAACATTTCTCATTGAGGTGAGATTATACAATCAGTTAGTAGGGCATGGGTAAAAATAATTTTAATTAGTATGATTGCGTATACTTGCCTGATGATAGTGAATACCTCATGCCATACTTACCTGAAAAATATGTAAAACGCTCCGGTTGCTTACAGTTTCTGTTCGAGACATGAGGTAATGTAATCGTAACTGTCAAGTCGATGAGTAGTGGAATGATGACCTAGAAAGCCAAACTGATGGTCTGGTAAAATGTTGTTGGAAGTAAATATAGAAATTTTGTGAATTAATTTTTGAATAATTTGGAAGGAACCGGTAACAAATTAATAGGTCGATAAGATGATGGGGTGTTTAAATGTTTATTTGACTTCAGTTTAATATAAGAAAGTGTCCATTGTATGGGAAAGTGTGTAGTTCGTAATTCAATTAATTAAGGTTTTTAGTTGTGATAAAAAGTCAGTGTCACGAACGGGATTTGAACCCACGATCTTCGGCTAGATACGCCGCTGCTCTACCACTTGAGCTATCGTGACCTCGATCCACTCGGACACTAACTTCCCATCTCAACCCCTTTTTCATATCTTGAATTTTTGATGGGAAGTTAGTGTCCGAGTGGATCGAGGTCACGATAGCTCAAGTGGTAGAGCAGCGGCGTACTAGCCGAAGATCGTGGGTTCGAATCCCACTCGTGACACTGACTTTTTAATCTCAACTAAAAACCTTAATTAATTGAAAAATATTAATTGGTCAAGCGGACCACGAAAACCAATGAATTTAGTAGTTCGTCATGTTGTATTAAATATATAAGTCAGAAATACGATTTTTTTGGAAGTTCTTGGATACTTCAGCTGTTAGCAAATCCACTAGACTAGATAATTTTTTTATGAAGCTGTCGTAATTTTTGTGATACTTATGTTGAAGTTATTGGTTTAGGTGACAGATCTAAAAGAATAGGTGTTAATGGGATGTATGTATATTTATTGTGTTCAGTGTTGACTAAGTCATGAGGTTTGAATACTTCGGAGAGATATTCCGCAAATGTCGTGGCCTTTTCTTTATCAGAACGATCCAATTTCCATAATCATTCCGAAAAAGGAGCTGTGACAACGCTATGACGAGAATTCGTTCAGTACTAGGCCAGAGACTCTCATCCTCCGTTGACAAGCTTTTCATATGTGTTTTGTATGATTGTTGCTTAAATAGTTTTAAACGCAGATGTCAAAAAAAATAAAGAAGCTATTAAAAGGGCCGTGACTATGGCACCAGAAACAGAAGGAATACTTAATCGTATAAATATATATATAAAACTAAGTTTATCTAAATTCTTCTTTACGTAGACGACATAGTTATAATAGTTGACGCCACACATGGTCTACAAAAGTATTTAGGTGAATAGGTGAATCTCAAAAAGTCTAACGTTATGGTGTTCAGAAGAGGTGGCAGACATAAGCCTTCGGACCATTGGTATTATAAAGGGGAAAGAATAGAGGTGGTTAATGAGTATAAATAACTTCTGTAAGTATAAGTGTTCTCCTCACCCCAGATTGTAGAGGTCGAATCGTTTGAAAAAAAAATTATCATTAACAAAGTTTGGAGTCAATAAGTCGTAGTCCTTTTTAATCACTCAATAGGTCATGCCATTAAAAGTCAAATATAACCTATTCAACTCAGTGTACCATTCGATCCTATGTTATGCTTGGCAGGTGCCAGGGCTATCAACGATTGGATTCAATAGAAAAAGTTCTAAGATATTTTGCCCGTAAATTATTACCAGTTCCAGGGGGCCGCGGTAGCCGCGAGGTTAAGGCGTCAGACTCTCTCGCGGTCGTGGGTTCGATCCCCACCGTCGCCTCTGGACTTTTCCAGACGCCTAAGGGGACCGGTAGCCGCAATTGAAAGAAATTGACACGGCACTCATCAATGGAAGGAGCGGGATCAGATCTCAGCGACCCTGAATTTGGTCCCAACCCCCTTCAAAAATTAGTTTCTTTGATGGAAGGACACCGGCACACCGGGGGCTCAAATTCACACTTGTGTTGCGAGTCCCCCAAAAAATGGAGCCAGGGATAAAGTACAATAAGCAGTGCTCAGGAGGGAACTACTCCAGTTTTTGGTATCCACTGAAAAAAAAAAAAAAAAAAAAAAACAATTCCAACCACAAATTATATGATTTACTTAGAAACATCGCCAGATCCATTATACATACACACCTTACAGCTTCACTTCTCATTCAGTCTTAAATCCTTAATCTTTCAGATTCCAGGCTTGTAAAAGTAACAGCGCAAGAAATCATACGATCGAAGTTCTCCCTAATCACCCCAAC